CCGGTTGTCAATTACAATTACGGTCACAAACCCAGTCAAGCTGAATACACGAATTTCGTCCATGCACCTTTTATCTGCACGGAAACTGTTGTTAATAAAAAATAAACTTCGGTTAAAAATTTATTCTAGTAACCAAAAGCAGAGTATCTCTCTATGACGTAAATCAAATTACCATAGCTCTGTTCCATTCTTGACAATAGGGGACCCTCGCAGCAGAACTCGATTAACTGCTATAGTTCATTTTAACCATTGACAGCGACATTACACTGAAGCGTGCTACATGAGAGTTAGCGCGAGTGAAGACACAAACTAACCACTCTGTTTGTGTCTGCTCTAACTGTCCGTGCTCTTTGTTCTTGCTGCATGTGATGATGCCCACCAAATTAGCCCGAAAGCGTGTCCCAACAAAGGCAGACAACTTGGCCGCAAGCAATTAAGTCGCTGCACGTGGACATTTTCTTCAAAATAACATGACGACTGATCGCTGATCGAATATCCAAACACGTAAAAAGTAATATACCAGGTATGATCTTGGTACTTCAGCACTGGGCACTTTAGCGAAAAAGAGAGGATGGAAGGAAAAATTATGAACCCTGAGTTATGTAATTTATGAAGGAGCACGGCATAGCGCTTTTGGGTCAAAAGCGGAGTGAAAGAAGAAAGCCACTTTCTCAAACAAATTTGTACCCGCTGCTACGCATGATCTCAGGCCGGGCAACCTCTTAAAAAAAGTGATCGGTGACACTGCAGTTCGAACCCAGAACCTCCTAGAGCGTAGCTGAGCGCTGTAGCCGCTCGTCCATTGCAGCTCTGCTTGCATTCATTATATTGCTGATATATCTTCAATGCTTCGAATGACGCCAAATGCAAAAACGTGTGGTGAAACTTGGTCAAAAATAGAAAAAATAGTTGTAATGCGTTACTAGAATATAGCAACCGCCACGTGTGGCTGTATAACCGAGCACTATTTATCTTGTACATTGCTGTCATGATGTTGGGATAGCCGGCTCTAACGCACGCTGCCTTCTCATAGTTTGCCAAATATAAATAAAAAACTAGAAATATATATCGGCCGACGACAACGCTAATCAACTATTATAAATTCACTGTCACTAGTGTCACTTTCACTAGATGAATACTCAGTTTGTTTCCATTATCGTTATTTAAAGAAGATTTGGCTCATTAAGTCATAACTCCCCTAGTTAGCATTGATTTTGTCACATCTAAAGACAGTCGCACTTCATCTCGCTTTATGTGTGGCTGTCGCTCCCATAGAATGCGTACTCCACTTTTTTATGTTCTCCAAGCATCCGACGCCTGCTTTGCGGAAACTTTCCTTGACGTCTGCTGCGCCAGAAAGTTGTCCTTATTATCTATCGATTTCAAGCATTCGCGAAGCCGAAACGAGAGTCTCTCTCTCTCTCTCTCTCTTCGTCCTTTTCGGACGTGTGGTAATGTCTCTCGACTTTAAGACTCGTATACACGTCTTTTGCTTTGTTTGCTCACTCAAACAACGCTGGACGAAATATTTGCACCGTGTTTTGTGAAAAGCATTAGCACGGAAACACCTACCGACGAGTCTCCCTCGTTTTACGTAGACACATATCTGAGCTTAAGCGTATGCACGTTCTCGCATTCCGGCTTTATAAAAATGCTGATGTGCATGAAACCAGCGAAATACCACTCACAACTTCATTTGATTACTGCTGTTCTCTATTTCTGCAGAATTTGTCCACAGGCACAAAAGTCGCTCCTGTGTCTTGTAATAAGAATATTGTAAGAAAGGCAACCTTTTACGTCTAGGTACAAAACAGCCTTACCTTCACCGCTATACCGTGCTCGATTACACCGGATTAGTTGAGTAGCAGCGCAGCTTCATTAAAATGTAAGGTAACTGGTCGTGTTAAACAGGGGAAGACATTTGAGGCACATTTTCAAACATTGGAAGCATCGATTTATGCGTGGTTTCATTGACGTGGTGCACCTGGAGTGCTGTTTACTTATACTTGGCGAGATAGTGCATGCATTGCTCGATGGCTTAAGGCCATTGAGGAAATTTTTTTTTAGCTACAGTCGCTGATGAAAGGCGAGTGCTTGGCTTTGCACAGCACACCAAAATGTCTATTGCAACGTACGCGGCATCTCGTAAGCGCTGTAGCAGATGCTCGGGGAACTTAAACTTAGACGCAGCAAATCATTGGCTATCATCGTATACTCTCGATGCTAGACGCTTTGCGTGCTACCTTGATATTATCGGCACACACTTCTTTCTTTCCTCTTCGTTTCATCAGCTATCGTGTGTCCTCCTCGCCCTCTTAAGTGCCGAATAAGTTAAGTTCGTACCTTCGCTATAGTAATCCCTCCAGATAAGAGAATTTTTTTGGCTAAGAAAATGCGTAACCATAAGAAAGCTTTGTGAATTCGGCCCCGGATATATTTCTGCATAACGCCCTGCCTTCTCCCTTTCTGTCTGCTGCCTTGCTTCTATCCTCTTTCTTTCTCTTTGGGCGACACAGAATATAAGAAAGCTTGCATGCCTACTTAAATATCATAAGAAATTTCCTGATTGCGTTGTACAAAACTTGCCCCGCCGCGGTGGTCTAGTGACTAAGGTACTCGGCTGCTGACCTGCAGATCGCGAGTTCAAATGCCGGCGGGGGCGGCTGCATTTTCGATGAAGGCGGAAATGTTATAGGCCCGTGTGCTCAGATTTGAGCGCACGTTAATGAACCTCGGGTGGTCGAAATTTCCGGAGCCCTCAACTACGGCATCTCTTATAATCATATGGTGGTTCTGGGATGTTAAACACCACATATCAAACAATCAATGAATCATGGAACAAGCCTTGTAACTCCAGTGGTTTTCTTTTACGATAAATGGGTCACCGATCACAAGCATTTTGAGTTAATTGTACGAGAATTGGCTGACATTCCTCTGCCATGATCCCGCTTCAATAAGTAAGGCTCTAAACAGAAGTTCCTGCTTATGAGTCTTGATGCAGTAACTCCTTCGCTCATCAGTCAAGCACACTTTAACATGTGCGTGCAAGGTGACATGGTGGCTTTGTGAGAGCCTAGATTTGTTGCGTGGTGGTCCACATGAAGAAAGACCGTTGTTTGATGTGGTCTATAGGTGTCTGTACGCCCCCCAAAACGTCTTTACCGTACGTGATGGGGCTGGAGTCATACTTAACGGGAGCGTATCTTCGAATTTAATTCAGTTTGGTGGCCAAGCACAAGCCAACGATGGAACGAGGTAGTACATCTAGGACGCAGTCCCTGCAACAGCACCTCGTCCGGGCGTTAAGCCCGTGTGTGATGCTTGAACCGCACATCGTGATTACATATTGTGAAGCAGCGGTGAAAATTACCGTGGGGGTCATATGCGTGGGTCCAAAGTACATTCGCCTGATTGTGTGCAGTGTGGAATGTTCGGTGGTGGGGGCGATACGACGCTACAACGCGTCTCCCTGGGCTAGACCATTCTCGGATCCCCATGGCTGCCTGTTTTGAAATTCATCAGGCACCAGTGATTGCATTTGAGATTATTCTTGTTTCTATACCTCTATCAACTGCTATATTTTTATGAAGCTGGCTGAGGATATGTTTTTCTTACCTGACAACAATGAACTTTCTACTTCTAAGCTGCAGTAGTAACCGCGTGAAGCATCCAGTGAGTTGAGTGACAGGAGAAGCCGGTTACAGTGATGCCTGATAGAGTGTATCGCTGGATTACCTGAAGATTTTAAGGCGCAGAACACTTTAAGGGCTCGGCTTGCCGACGTATGGAATAGCCAACAACTAACATTTGCAAAGCTGAAATTGTAAAATATTTCGGAAACGTGGCTCACTCCTGCGGGTCATAAGAGAGTGCGCTAACAGCCCATAGAGTGAGCACAAGTACTTCTCCTGCACCGCCTCTATGTTGGCGCTACGTGAATTCATGTGATGGGGAAAACAAGCTGAGTGAACTCGTTGCAGACGACGGGTATCTCAACTGCCGTAACAAGCATCATGTCGCAAAAGCACGGCGAAAATTCGCGCACATGTCGAACAGTACGCTTGTTAATCAATATAACAACATTCTACCAGTGCCTGGGAAGCCCCATGTGCTGACCTCAAACACTGACGTCATTCGCGCTTTCGTAAACACTCTAGTCAGAACTTCCTGAACGAAAATCGCTCCATGCCTATGCTACGCACTATCTCAAGTCTCAGAGTAGTGTAGCTGTCATAATTTTTCTAATGACTTCCGAAGTTTAATTCAGAAGGAAGGCCTGCGGAGTGAATCGGTCATTGATTTTACAAGTTTCAATGTGAGATTAGCGAAATCACCGTGCATTTTGCTGCCTTCTTCGAATCGGCTCCTTCGACGCCAGGTCGTCCGGGCTCTTTCCGGTGCCGCGGCACGCGATCGGTCAGATAGGGGGAAAAATAGCCATCGTAGCCCACGACACATCTGCTTTTTTTGTGCCAATTTGGATTACTGCTTCGTTTTCTGCGTTTGGGGAGTTCCATTCCGGTATGGAGGTGTGGAACCTGTTTGTCAACTTTCTCTGCGCCTATTTGTGGAGAGCTTGCTGTTTACTGACAGTCTAGAATTAGTGAAGCCTTCGCTCTACGAATTTTCGGGCCGCATCTCATCTATTAAAAAAAGCTCGCCGTAATTCATGACACGTAGCGTACATCGGTGCGACGTTTCTCCACGTAACTTCACATATAATCACGCTAACGCCAACCACAAGAGTGAAATAAGATTTGTGAAAGTAGGTGGCAGAAGAGTTTGTAGAAATGATTCGACTCAAAAGAAGTTAGGAGCTTTGCAATATCATTTTTTTTATATGGCAATGACTGAATAGTGCCTAAATGCTTTTTTTGTGGTCCACAGAGCGTCAGACAAATGCAGAGCACAATACATAAATACACGAATATACGAGATTTTTGCGCTGTCGCACCTGTCTGCTTTCCTTGCGGGCTGCAGAGCCTACGTATGTATCTCACCTTTCCTATCATGTGAGTGCTGTATCCAAGTCTCTTTAGCCACTGCGGTAGCACCTCGAAGTGGAGTGGGAGGGCGGCCTTCGATGCACCATTCAAAGGCAAATAGTTCATACCTGGGGGGGGGGGGACGATAGAAACAAGTAAGATGAGAAAGAGAGAGAGAGACATCAACACGTAAAATACAAGAGGTTAGCCATAAGCCTAGAAAAAACTTGTTTTACATGTGTGACCGAGGCGGAAACTATTGGAAGGGAGCTTGTTGACTTAAGATACATGTCGTGCCGCCCAATTAATCGACAAACAGATACCCAAACTTCACTTCAAAAGTGAAAATCATCGCAAGATTAGATAGCGAAATACCGGCTAGTCAAACAAGCAACTGTTGCCATGTGCACATGTCCTGTATATACCCCTGCGTTTTTCAAGTGCGTCCTTGTATGCTTAGCGCGTAGCAAGTTTCCATCTGCTTGCCGTTTTTGCAATCATTTTCATTGCTTCACCCTTAAGGAAAGTTATGGTTTTTCCTTATTGTGCTCGTAGAGTTCTAACGAAGTAAAAAGTAGTGTTTGCATGATATAAACATACTAATATAGTCACATCTATTGGGGATTATGCCCTTTTTGTTGTTAATGATTTGCCGCTCCATCAGCAACACTGCTGCCTGGGAAGTGCTGAGTATGGATGACTGCTTCATTTCCGTAGAGAACTTATCGAAAGCAGGTAAATCTGTTGAAAAGAAGTAAGGGGACATACCTTTATCACAGCACTTCCTCCTAAAGGAAGACCGATGGGAACACGACCCATAGAGACCTACGTCTTGGCATGATGAACAACTAAGTCATTTACTTGAACCGAAAGGAGAAGTGCACGATTAAAAATTGGTGCTCAAACTTAACAAAATATAATAGAAACGACAGATACATTTCACCACCTATGCGAGTGGCATCCTTTCTAGTACACTTATGAAGTAGTGAAGGACAGTGCCAAGCTTTTTGGATGTACTTGTCCCCAGGGCTTGTATTGGTGGAGTGGAAACAACAATCTACCGCAACCAATGCGATGATGGAGGTTGTTTGTCTTTTGACTTGCACCACCCAATACACACAAATTGTACGCAGTGAAAATTTTTTTCTCTCCCGTTGTGGTGCTGCTCCTTCTGATCAGCACTTGGTGACATGACATGAAAAATGTAGTTGGTGTGTTTATACGAAGGCATTGTCTGAGCACGTATATCAACAGCACCCAGCAACGCGCACAAACAGAAACAAAGAGTGTACTGCCACAAAACACAACATCCATGGTTTCCGTTCCTTACGTTTCGAACGTGTCGGACGCTGTTTGGAGTGCACTTCATGCCCTGGCCATTAAAACCATTTTGCAGCCTCATGGCATTTTGTAATACGTGTTTTCCAAAGCGAAAGACCGCACTCCTACGAATGATCAAGCGGGGTCCTTTACATGGTACCATGCTGTGACTGTGATTCATCATACACCAGTAAAACAGACAGGAAGCGGTCAACGAGGCTCAAGGAGCACACATGGGACGTCGCCAAAGCCACTAATAACGCGCATTCAGAGATAAATTTCGCCAAACACTGTTGGGTGCCAGGACATGCCTTCTACTTCAATAAAGCCACGATGTTGGCTCTGGAACAATGGTGGGAAGCAAAGCTTCTCAAGTCGTAGTTCGTTCGTCGCAACAAGACTGCACGCGACAACAAAAACGTGGCCCACTGCCGGATGCGCTCAGAGGAATACGAGATTAACGGTTGACTGCGTGACCTCCACTCATTTCGTGCCAGTGCATAATGAGAATACCGTCAGCACAGGTTTTACTTATATTTTGTTTCCTTACGTCAGAGTACATAATTGAAATCACGAACTCACCCGGCTCTTGGAACAATTTTAGAGAGGTACAAGTCCTGTTTTCTGTGTTACTCTAACATTCTCTATGACTAACGAAAGCGGCACATCTTCCTGGACAAGGAAGAACTTTTTTTAAAATCTATACCTAATAACACATTGGTTGATATGTAGGGGTTAACGTCCCAAAACCACCATATGATTATGAGAGACGCCGTAGTGGAGGGCTCCGGGAATTTCGACCACCTGGGGTTCTTTAACGTGCACCCAAATCTGAGCACACGGGCCTACAACATTTCCGCCTCCATCGGAAATGCAGCCGCCGCAGCTGGGATAATAACACATTGGTAAGTCTGCACAATAGATGCTCGTTTCGCAGAAATTCTGGCGTTTCCATAGCCTTCGGTGACGTCGTCAGCATGACCGCCATTGATGGTGAGCTAAAAATTGAGAAAGGCGCAAATAAATGAATAATACAACTTTCCGGATCCGAGTGTTGATCGTACAACACTGGTTTGCGAAGCAAACAGGTCTCCTGCCACACAGCGTCTGCGTGGAGGTACAGTGAAAATAACTTCCCTTTCTTTGAAAGGCAGTGAGTGTGACTCTTGCACTGAAAGCTCATGCGTCTTGAATATAGGCTTCACAGTACAACACATAATATCCCAGTAATATTATGAGGTACAGGTGCACATTCCATCAGGAATCTGGACATGTAATGATACCCATTACGCAGAATGCAGCCATATGCGAAAACCTCGTTTACATAAGCCAGTTTAAACTTTATCAGCTATATTGCAATAATATAAAACTTGAACTTTCGAGTAACCTCACACAATAAAAAGTATGCACTAAGGGGTTGAAGCATGTACTAGGAAGAGGATATTGTTATGACATTCAACACTTGAAAACGAAGCTTAAGGTACGCCAATTACCCTGATACGCTTTTTTTCGGAGTGGTTCTGATTCAAATGATGTAGAAAATAGGATTAAAGTATATACGCCCATGGTTTTTATTTTTAAGTTACTAGGCTGTGGGTGAATGACCATAATTTTTTAGGACTGAAATGGTAAATGCATAACAGAGGCCTCCGGCAACGATGCCGGTTAAGATTGACTTCCTAAGGCGCGTTGCCACTTGGACTCGAAGGGAGCGAAAGTGGCTAAACACACCAGAAATTCACTCGCTTCGCCAAATAAGCAGCTCGAAAACCACGCCGCGAGGCCTGCGCGAAAGAAAGTCGGTCCGAGATTGATTTTTACGCCACGCGAAAGCTGATCACCTTCACGCTTGACGGCTTTGGTTGCACTAGCTGAAACCACGTGATATAAACAGCTGGCCGCAGATTCATCATGACGGCACGATGCAGCTTCATGGCCTCAACGAGGATGCTTCTATCAACAGCATGGTTTGGGTTACGGTCGCAGAAAACACTTTAAGTTGGCACTGCAGCAGAAGCTAGTCGGCATGCCTCAGCGTGTTTTGCTTTTGCACAGCCTGGCTGATTTCGTCACCGCCTTCACTGCCATTCGCTCGGGTCGTTTATATATATATATATATATATATATATATATATATATATATATATATATATATATATATATATATATATATATATATACATATATATATATATATATATATATATATATATATATATATATATATATATATATATACATATATATATATGAATATTAAAGTAGATGCGCTTTCACATAACAACTGTTTCTTGTGCCAACGTTTCGACGGGCACCCCGTCTTTTTCAGGGCATAATACTATTTACACATGTTCCGTGTCTTCTTATGGCCTGTCGAGACAGGAGGAAAGGTGCCATAAGAGAGAGAGAGAAAAAAAGGAAACAGCAAAACGGGAGGACAAACATTCAATAAAATATAGAAAATCTAGGAGAAGAAGCAAGACCGACACGGCGTAATTAGAAAGGGGCAGCATTTCAACAGAGTAGGGCAGAGGTAGATGAGCAATGTCATCATTGTCAACAATACCTCCCCCGCACCCACTCTTCCCCAAGTTGGCAGGGAGCCGTCGTTCTTGTATTTCACCTTTCCGTGTAGTCCGCTGGCGGCTCGTTCCTCTTTGAAGAAGCATATATATATATATATATATATATATATATATATGAAGTCTTGGTACTCTTGGTTGCGTCGGCGTGTTTATTTGAGGAAAGACCTCGCAAAACGAACAGGCAGAGCCAGTACACAGATGATGACCCAGAGTGGCAATGAGGACAAAGATTCAAGCGGATGATGGTGATTGGGATCATGCAGAAATGAGAACGATGTAAGTAACAAACGCCCATACAAATTGCCTCCACTTGGAAGCGGACACTTTGGCTGCCGTATGTCAAAGTGACGGGGAACGTCGCGTGTAAGGTTTCTTGCGACAAACGTGGACAATGACTGTGCTGCGGTAGCGGTGGTCTGTTGGGGCAATGCGTTGTGTCACACAATAATTAACCGGCGAAGTCTGTTCTAAAACAATGTATGGCCAGGTGAAGCGTGGTTGGAATTTGTCACAGAGACCAGGAGTGCGAATAGGTGTCAAAAGCAGCACCTCGTCACCAGGTTGGAAAGACACAACGCGGGTTGAAAGCGACAAATGAAAGACGGGATGAAAGACGGGGAAAGACACAACGATGGGATGCGTCATAGATGATCTTCCGCTTGTGCTGTTTTGCTTCAGTATTGATGCGAGCCTGATAGCGAGACTCGGCCAGGCGGGAAGTGTATTCTTCGCTAGAAGACTGATATGAATTCTCATGGCTGTTAAAGAAGGAGACGTTGTGAAAGGTAGTCGGGATGCGTCAGTACATGAAATAAAACAGTGAGTAGCAAGTTGCTCGCTGAACGGCGGTGTTGCAAGCGAAGGTCAGGAATGGTGAAAGAGTATCCCAGTTTTTGTGGTAGGGCTGGACGTAAACGGCTATAATGTCAGCAAAGGTTTGGTGAAATATTTCTGTGAGACCATTTGTCTGAGGGTGGTAGCTTGAAGCTGTCTTGTGAGTAGTTCCAGAAGCGCGCAGTACTTCATTTACTATTGGTGACAGGAACACTTTGTACGGTCACTAAGCAGTACACGAGGAGCCCCAAGACGCAGATGATGGCGTGGAGAATAAAGTCTGCAACTTTCACAGCTGAGCCTGTAATAACAGAGGAAATCTCAGCGTAGCGTGTCAGGTGGTCCACGGCGGTCACTATATCGTTTGCCAACAGATGTGACGGAGAGAGGCCCATAAAGGTCGAAAGCTACAACCTCGAACGGCATTGAAGGACACGGAAGTGGCTGTAGAGGTCCAGCAGGTGCAGACGTGGAGATAAATGTTGGCTCGTCGTTTGAAAAGGGTTGCCTTATTGAGGTGAGCGTATGAACTTATGTACATGTGGTGGTTGGGTTTTCACCATTGCTGATATGGGCAGTGGGAAGCGGGCAACGAGATAAAGCGTCGGCGTGTTGATATTCTCTACTTGACTTGTAAGTTATGTCAAAGTCGTACTGCTGCAAGCGTAGTATCCACCCACCCAATCGTCCGGACAAGTTATTCAGTGTAGAAAGCGAGGATAAGGCATGGTGGCCCTTAACGACTGTGAAGGGACGGCCGTGGAGATAGGGACGGAACTTCTGCACCGACCAAACCACAGCGAAACACTCTTGCTCAGTTATCGTGTAGTTATTTTCGGCAGGGGTGAGTACGCGACTGGCATATAAAACAACTTTCTCTAGGGAAGACTTGTCGCGTTGAAGAAGAACATCTCCTACACCAAGGCCGCTAGCGTCGGTATGGAGGATAGTCGGTGCGGCTTCGTCAAAGTGGCAGAGCAGAGGTTCAGACGTGACTGCCCGCTTCAATAGCTCGAATGCCGTTTGAAATTTTTGAGACCACAGAAAGGGACGTTGAAAGCAAGAAGCTGGTGTAATGGAGCAGCAATAGACGCGAAGTTCTGGATAAACCGGCAAAAATAGGAGGCGAAGCCAAGGAAACTGCGAAGCTCCTTCGGTTTTTCGGGACGCGAAAGTGAAGAACTGCAGAAATCTTGTCAGAATCGGGCCAGGTGCCATCTTTGCTAACGACGTGTCCTAAAACCTTGATAGATTTTCTAGTGAAAGAGCATTTCTTAGTGTTTATTTGGATGGAAGCCCAGTATAGGTGAGGCACTTCAGAACTCGATCCAATCGTTTAGGTGCTCAGGAAACGTTGAAAAAAAGATAACATTGTCGTTCAGGTAGCAAAGGCAACTTTTCCTTTTCAGGCCACGCAGCACGGTGTCTATCAAGCGCTCAAAAGTAGCGTGTGCATTGCAGTTCTTCAAAGGCATCACGTTAAATTCACATAGCCCATCGGTGGTCGCGAGCGCCGTTTTGTCCTTATCGTCTTCATGCATGGGGATCTGCCAGTACCCAGAACGCCAGTCGATGCTTGAAAAGTATTCCGCGCCCTGTAGGAAATCAAGGGCGTCGTCACGACATCAGTGATGGTAGCTTGGTTTTACACAGTGAGGGCATTAAAGGCAACAGGCCCAATGCCTTTTAATATATGGCGCACTTTGTCTGATTCTGGCTTGGAGTGATTGACACGCCGGTATAGTGCGAGGCCATCCTCGATGTATGAAGTGTACGATTCCCTGGGATGTTGTCGGCGAGTATCGAGTGTCATCTTCGTGACGGCGGATCTAACGTCGGGTGTCCCAAAAACGTGTCGCAGCTGCTGCTGGAATGTAGCTCAGTCGGGTAAGTCAACGACGTGGTTAAAATACCATGTCTTCGCAACTCCGGTCAGATAAAAAGGATGTAACGCAATTGGGTGGCCTCGTACCACCTATTACCGGCACTTACGCGGTCCTAGTCATCAAGCCAGTCTTCTACGTCTTTTCCACGAAGACCAGCGAAGAGCGGGGGTTCCCGCTGATGTCCGTGTATGTAAGTGAAGGGGGGGGGGCAGCTTGCGGCGGTGCGTGGTTGATGACATCAGCGCTGGCAGGCTCGGTCTGGGACATGCTGCCTGACTATAGGCGCAAGCGGTGGTCTGAACGAAGCTCCAGGAAGTACAGCGGGCTGCGGGAGGTCAGAGGACCGAAAATCCACCTCCAGACTACCAGTTTTGGTAGTCTTGGTTGCGTCAGCGTTTCTTTGAGGAAAAACCTCGCAAAACGAACAGGCAGAGCCAGTACACAGACGATGACGATGATGATGACCCAGAGTGGCAATGAGGACAAAGAGACAAGTGAATGATGGTGATTAGGGTCATGCAGTGATGAGAACGATGTGACAAATGTTTGAAAAAGTGGAGCTGTTTCTTTATAATTCGTGAATGCGTGAATAACTAGAAGTCTGTATAAATGTCAGTGACCAGAAAGCAGGCAAATTTAATGAATTCTCAAAGTAGCGAAGGCGGCGGTGGCAGTGGCATGCATGAGAGGCAGAACTGAATGTGAACATTTTCGACGCTGCGCGGACATGGTTTTCCGTCCACTCTAGCGTTTGCGTTTTTGCTTCAAATTTCAATTATGAATGTGGCCTTACAGTGCGAGCGTGAACTACTGCTACGTAGCAGAAAGGTTTTTTCCAGTCTAATTACACATGCTGCTCTCACCGACACGTGGCGGGTAGCGTGATGTCAGGAAAGCTGCCCGTGAAGGTGAGCAGGTGGGGGTTGAGTAGTGGCGCTGTAGAACGACGCCACTCACTGCCAGGGCGTCGATGTTTGGAGTCGGTATCTGTCGTGACCCGTGGAAACTGACGTCATTCCACCCCTGCATATTATAGGCGTCAAAAATGTCGCGAAATAGGTGAACACACCTTAGAACTTGTCATGAACTCAGTGAAGTTATGTGGCACCTACGAGATGCTTTATGGGTAATTGTGGGTGATGCATGTTTTGCCGAAGAAATCTTATATCTGTACCCAATTTATAGAACCATATAAGTCCCCCTGTACATCTTTGCTGACGTTTAGTGTCTTGTGCAATGTTTGCATTCCAACTTTACCATGGTGATGACTCGCACATAAAAATATTGGAGAGAAAAATATCAGCGTACAAATATACGGGTAATAAAAATTAAAAGCGCACCCGTGTTATGACCTCAACTGGACAGAAAGTATGGGCAAGAGCAGCCTGTGCCTGCCGGAATTAAACACGCATGTAAAGAGGGCGCCGTCCTTATTTGAACGGTAACTCATTGAACAGGCACAACCAGCATTACTGTACGCAGATGATATAATTCTAATGGGTGACAACAAGAAAGATTTGCAGAGATTGATGGACATCTGCGGTAATGAGGGAGATAGGTTAGATTTCAGATTGAATAAGGAAAAATCAGCAGTCATGATTTTCAATGATAATGAAGGTAGTGAGCTTAGAATACAGGAGGTCACGCTAGAGATAACAGATAAATACAGATATCTGGGCGTATGAATAAGCAATTGGACCGAGTACCTAAGGGAGCACGAAATATACGTGACGAATAAAGGTAACAGGAATGCAGCAGTGATGAAAAATAGGGCACTGTGGAACTACAATAGGCATTACGTTGTGAGAGGAGTTTGGAAAGGGGTCATGGCTCCTGGTCTGACGTTCGGCAATGCGGTCTTGTGCATGAGATCAGAAGTTCAAGCAAGATTAGAAATTAAGCAACGTGGAATAGGTAGGCTTGCCTTAGGAGCTCACGGAAATACACCAAATCAGGGAGTACAAGGTGATATGGGATGAACATCATTTGAAGGCAGGGAAGCTAGCAGCAAGATAAAATTTTAAAAGCGATTGAGAGAATTGAGGAAGGCGCGTTGGACTAGGAGGGTTTTCAGCTACATGTACATGAAAAGTGTCGATACAAAATGGAGGAAGTGAACGAGAAAATTGACAGGTAAAATTTAGAAAACAGCAAGTGGCCAAACCAAAATGAATTATCGGTTAAGACAAAGGTGAACGAAGCTTAGACCGATATGTGGAGAATCGGCATGATTAAGAAGTCCGCACTAGAGTTTTATCGAACTTTTGAACCGGATATTGCCAAGGAAAGGATCTATTATAATACTCGGGGTAGTTCTCTACTGTTTGAGGCGATAATGGGAGTATTGCGAACCAAGAAATGTCGGGCCGAATACGAAGAGATAGACATGTTATGCAGTGCGTGTGGAGAGGAGGAGGAAACTGCCAAACACTTGATAATGTTCTGTAAAGGGCTTCACCTATAATTCAGGATCATGGCGCAGAGTTTTTCAAAGCACTGGGGTTTAGGGACAGGGAGGGCAAAATAGACTTCTAGCTGGGAGAATTAACTAGAAGGAGGTTATCTGATTGGTGGTTACAGTCAAGGCAAAAGTGAAAACTAAATTCTTCATTGCAAAGTACCAGTCCTCAACCTCACTATATAAAGAAAAAAAAGAGAAATCTAGTTTTTGGTTCCCTAAGTATTACGGCTTGGTGACGTTAGCCCCCGCCCGATCTAAAGGGTACAGCCATATCAATCCATCATATATCAGGAGTTTAGCATCGTAAGAAAAAGAATGTTTCTTTCTGATTCACTTGAAGGGTAAAAGGCAAATCATTTTTATCAAGGGCGAACTGGCTCCGCATTCCGATTGATACCTTGCGTGAAAATTATATGGTGACCATAAAGTCACACACGTGTTGGTGTATGTAGCAAACTCTCAGTCAGTGATCGCCAACGTTGGCTATCATATAGTGGAGTAAGCAAGAGTCCTTGATGTGATAAGAAAATGCATGCAAAGATGTTTACTGCCTGGTACAGTCGTGGTCGTGGAGGAGTACAGATAGTGTGCTATGTAACACATGCAAGTACATGCGAAGGATGAAATACCGCAAATTTAGTCTGCGTATAGCCATCGATGTCTCTTCACGCGCAGAACACATTCAAACATACAAGAAGCGTCGATATGAATGATGCTTAGGATCACAAGCTTAATCCTTAAGACTCAAGGCTGTTGAAGAACTCAAGGAGGATGAAAATGGGGTTAATATTCTTCTATTCATTATAGTAAGCACAGGGCGACCTAATTCTTTCGACCTTGTCAAAAAAATCTAACTAATGGTACCTTACTGCAACAAGACCTATTTGCCAGACTTATTAGTAACCTCGGCATGATATAGTCAACTGACAGAGCCATTCCAGAGAAGTAGGTTACAAGCCGACCATTCACAATGCCCACGCAGTATGGGTGGCACTCTGCGCGTTTCTAGGCTGCAGCTGGAGGAGCGTGCCAGCATGCTTGCTCAAGGAGACATGCGCGACCTGTGCCGCTTTACTGGAGCCCATAAAATGAGCTATGCTGAAATTATGATATGACCCGAAATGCTTGTCCAACACAAGTAACTGTCCAATTCTCACGTGCTCCTTTTTTTTCTGCGGTGAAAAAGGTTATATTGCTAGCATCTTTATGTCGCAACAATGCATTGATGCAGCTGGTAAGTAATTGAATCGTTGCTGAATGGGACCTTCAGTGTAACGCGACAATAGTTTCTAAACATATTGCAGCGTCGTGAGTGCTTGCAGTCTAAAGCACACGAAATTATTAACCCACTTTCATTGAGCACTCTACTCAGTATAGTACTTTGGTCAAGTCATGCTCAGACTCTCATCATGCTGCAGTTAGCGTCTCTTGAATTATGAGCGCAAACCAACGTCGGCGATAGGATGGCACAGGGGAGAGGATATGCAGCACCTCTGTCGGTTGCGCTGATTAGCATTCATAACCAACGTGCCCAGTCCCCTACAGCCTTTTCAGTCGCTCGGATGCTGCATGCTTGGTCAGTCGAGGAAACCAGAATCTCGAAAATAATGCGTGCCCACAAATGTTCTTTGCAATGCCGCAGATTTCAACGTCAACCAAATTTGTCGAACAGCAACACCATTTGAACAAGGGACGTTCATTGGAAACACAGCGGCGCGGATTGTGGCTGCGAGTGTATATATTGTTCTTTTAACAGTCGCGTGAGCTCATTGAACCTGTTCGTGGCTGTGGGGCTTCATTTATTCCACGCCATATGTTGCGCTTCCGGCGTCGCGCCTGAAAATTATATTATTTTCATTGTAACACTATTTTAGAGTGTGAACACATTGAAATTGAATATTGAGTGAAAAGAAGTTTCAAGAGAAGAATAAGCACAAAGGGCAACAGTATGCTCTTGAGTTAACAGCATTATCATCACCGTCGCTATAACTTTTGAGGCCTTCACCGCCTTCTAACTTCCAGTGCAAATGACCATTAAGTGCGCTAAGTGTTCTCTAGCTCGTTGTGAAGATGCTGAATCTCAACGTCCTTATATAAAAGACGTACAGATTTTCTTTTTTGAGAGATCTTGATTTATCAGCGTCACCGTGCTTACATCTCTAACACTGTCTTAAATTTTGGCTCTGATAATGCTGCACTTTCAAAATTGCTGGTCAGCATCTTTGTCTGGGTAACTGTCATTTCAGCATAGGATGTTGAGCATTTTTTGTAATGATTATTGTATGGTATCAGCAAGGTTAATAACGAAAATTGTTCGTCGTGTACTTCTAATATGACTTATGTACGACAAGAAGCACTTCAGTGCCAGCCCACAATGCGCTATATGTGTATTTTTCAACAAAGTAATTGTGGACAACTCATAAAGTTCCATAAATCAGATTTGGACGACTGGGGTGTATTTTAGTGGATATAAAGAAATTCAATCGGGCGGTCAATTTCGATCTCCATCGGAATGACGCTCCTGAGGACCGCACTGACCTACAACGCCACTTCTGCAATTCACGAAAGCAGTGGGGTGGTAGCAGTGACGGATGACTGAACAGCCACTCTCGAAATTCATAACAGCCTTTTCTTACGAAAAATGAAGTATCTTATTCTAAAATATTACACATTTGCTAAGAATACCTTGTTATGGTTCAGCTTAAGACCCACCTTGAGTTTTACTGACATGAGCTTCCAAATTTCATTGCAGCCGCGTCCCTTTCGCTTTGAAAATGTTTGCGAGAGTGAGAGGGAACTAGAAAAAGGAAAAAAAGGAAGAAAAAGACGAAAAAGGAAAGAAAGAAAAGAAGAAAGTAAAAAAGAGGAAGAACCACTGTCAACACTGAGAACGAAGCCAACTGTCCGTCTACATCCACATACGGTTCAAATCACGTGCTGTTCAGTTCTTGACGTGTGTCGGGCCACCCAAGATTGTCGCCGCGGTGCCGGGAGGGTCCGTGACGGCGTGCATAAAGAAAGGGGTTTCCCCTTAATAGGTCGGTCGGCGGGCGGCGTGCGTAAAGGAAGGAATTCCCGTTAATGGGTCGGTCGGCTATTTACCCTTAATCTTCGTCCGTTTCCCTTCAATGGTCATCAAGTGGTAGGCGAACGTAAACACTTCGTGTGTGCATGTGAAAAAAACAACAAGAAAGGACAGTGTACACGTACAAGTCAGTCAGAAAAAGGCATGGTCTCCAGGTATCAATCTTCGTCACAATTTTCTCCTGGCTTACTTCTCGGAGGCAGCTTGAGTTTTCGGGGGTCCTCGTTGATGCCGGCTATTACTGTACGAAATTTGAAATAAAATAGCCTCACGCTGTTCGCGCTCGCGTCTGTTTGAGAAACCGGACTGCAAAGAGTTACGCTGATATTTTCAAAACTGTGGTTTGGCAGGCGCAGATGTCTAATAAAGGTAGCTTCGGCAGTGAAGTGGCGTGGTACGGTTATTATTGAACCGCAGCCCGGAACTGCGTTTGTCTGTATGGCCCAATATATTTATTCTTGTCCCAGATGTTGCAATGCTGTAGCATGTTATGCGTTACTGGAGTTACACAATTTTACACAACCTTAGAATTTCGTTATGCAGAATTAGACATCTGAGAAGTTTGCTTTGGATGTCACGTGTTGTGACATCTGTGGGCTATACCTTGCATCGCAGCTTTCCCGCAGGGATGGCACCATGATGAAATGTGTGGGGTGTTGTTTTTGCTCTGACAAGAATGTCCTTCAGATTTTTATCCCGGCGGTACACCACGTGAGGTGGCTTCGCGAAAATAGAAGTTAGTCGTTTGCTTTGCCTGATTATGTTGAAATGGCGGGAAAGTATGTTGTTGCGACAATCTTGGGTGGCCCGAAACACGTCAAGAACTGAACAGCACGTGATATGAACCGTATGTGGATGTAGACGGACAGTTGGCTTCGTTCTCAGTGTTGACAGTGGTTCTTCCTCTTTTTACTTTCTTTCTTTTCTTTCTTTTCCTTTTTCGTCTTTTTTCTCCCTTTTTTCCCTTTTTCTAGTTCCCTCTCACTCTCGCAAACATTTTTCAAGGCGAAAGGGACGCGGCTGCAATGAAATTTGGAAGCTCATGTCGGTAAAACTCATCCCCTGATGAAGGGAGGACCCCTCCCGAAAATGTTGGGAAATAAATATATTTATCCTTGTTGAAAACTCTCCCGTTGGGCCATATCTCATACCTTCACGAAGACTAACTGGCCCATTGAATAATTACTCCACTATATATATATATATATATATATATATATATATATATATATATAGTTCAAAAAGATCAAGCACGTAGGAAAAATTGTTTTGTAAAGGACTGTAAAGGACTTTTCCTACGTGCTTGATTTTTTGAACTTTTACTTCCGGTCCTATGTTAGCACTTCATTGTTTATATATATATATATATATAATATATATATATATATATAATATATATATATATATATATATTATATATATATATATATATATATATATATATATGGCTCTCAGCACTACCAAGGTGTTTTTAGGTGCTCTTTGCGAATAAATAACGTGATTTTTTTGCAGAAAAAGCACGCATTGACAAATGTAACACATTATTCTACGTAACGATACAGCAAGATTGGCGTAGCTAAACCGTGCACCATGTGGGACTGTGGGTGATAATTGGCAGCGTCAACTGCTCAGAGTTATTTGCACCATATTTTAACAAAAGCTTCCCGTTTAGCGGGAATCAAACGAATTTGTTTTGTCACAGTGGGTCAGTCTTGTTCACTGATGCGCGAAACAAACAATGTCACAGTGGTTATAAGAATCGAGCTTGCGCATGTGAACAAAAAAGCGACTGCTGCTTCTCATCAGCTATTATTTATCGAAGGGTGTTTTCTAAGATCTGCTCGGTGACGTGAGTGTGACCATCTATTGGCATTGCATGTACTCAAGCCTCGCCAGACCGAAGAGAAACTAAATATCTCATTGAGACCACAGATTTGTTGGAGAGTTAACATGGCAGCTTTGAAGGAGATAAGCATGGCTCCCTCAATTGTGCTTTGCTTGATCACTCCGCTCCACAAGTGGCACCAATACAAATGATGTTAGAGCCTGGGGATGTGCGAGTGAGCACCGGAAAATAGCTCAACCATTGAACTTTCTCGTGAAATCGGTGATGTATCACATAGGCAGAAAGCAAATAGCATGCGTATGGGTATGTCGAGTAATTGTGGCAGTCATACAGTAAACCTTAAGTTGTCTGTGTAAGAGCGTAGTAAAGCATAGATTCTCTTGACAGGGTATTTCTTTCTGAGTGATCACCATACACACGAAATGCGCCGGTCCCCTCCTAACTATTCTGAACAAAACATCATGTACCAGGAAGACATGTAGTACAGCGCTAGCTGCGCCTCTTGTGACACAGCACAATGCGAAATGAAAGTCGCGAAATGAAGTTTGTCTTGTGGGGGGACGTTATGGATATGGGTAATCATTCCATGTTACAGGCTTGACGACTGAATTAAGGTCAGTGATGAGGAAGTCAAGTTAGTTTTGCGGGTCACTATCTCAATCCTAATTAAAATATCTTGGAGCTTATTAGCAATAATAATTAAGAAACATAGTATACCGCCGCCTGCTGAGTAGGCAGTGCCAATGCTTTAGACTGTGACGCCGTATGCTAACCATGTATATTAGATAATGAAGCTGTTAAAGCTTCCAATAGAACATACAATGGCAATAGCTTTGCTGCGAATAGAGTTCGGAAGAAGGTGTTTACGGCGCAGGCATATGCACTTCACTACACCATAGTAGAATGTTCCACCATTCGTCTCAGCTCAAGATAAAGGAAACGGAAACGTCACTCAATGCGGCCGGATGTAGTGCGCGCTTCTCCTCTCACTTTCATGGCAGAGCGTACATCTGGCGCGCTGACCCTGACTGCTGCTGTGCGCGATCGGCTGCGTTTACGTGACGTGGAAGCAAGCGATTCTCGCTGAACTACCATGTCGGCGCTCGAATTTTGATCAACATGTTGTTCAGGGGAGCACCGAAGCTGTTTGAGGACGAACCACGCAGTTGAGAATAAAGCACCTGTCTTCTCCTGCCCTTCCACCACTAGTTTGCCATGGTACCGCGCGCCCTTGCGTTGAGGCGTGGAGACCCACAGGTATCGCCTGGCCGGATCAAGCATATAGGAAGTAGATGCGTTTGCGCATGCGCTCCCTCTGTTCGTGTACAACATATGATCACAATGGTGAACAACCAGGTCCCGGTGAACTGTGCACAATATTATAGTTCATAAGTTTGAAAAAAGGTTCTTAAACATTATCCGAAATTTTATTCAAACCAAGCTTACTATACCAGGAAGTTAGCGCAGTTGGTGTCATTATGCCAGTTAAGTGCAAAATGTGATATAAGATTTATAGTATCTGTGTTTGCTGTATTGCACAATTCGTTTGTGAATAAACCATTATTCGCAGTTACTTAGGCGTAGATGAAGATTTAGAATCGTCATTGTACTTACAAGGTCATCTGCCAGGATGAAAATTATATGGGGGGGCCTCGTTGTATTGTTGACACGTTCTGGATGAGATGCTCCAAAAGGCAAGGATATCGTAGCACTAGACAGGTGAGTAAGAAAGGAGGACAACAAAAGTAATGGAACGCATTATTGGCTTTCCTGGTTTAACTTGTAAAAAAAATACCGTAACGCACACAGTATCCGAATGAACCGATATGCCCAATTCATGCAATAGTTTTATACCACGAATTAATAATATTATTATTATTATTATTAATAATATTATTTGATTTGCACACACAGGTACACAAGGACACACAGGAAAGAGGGAGAGAGCAATCTGGCAACTGCCACCAAGAGGGGCACAACGCGTGCTCACTCTTTTGGTAGGAGGGAAGAAACAGAGGAAACAGAGATTAGAGGGGAAAAAGAGGGAAGAAGACGAGGAAGGGGAAAAATGACGAACTTCGACGAGTATGAGTAAAAAAAAACATAAATAAAAATAATAATAAAAAGAGACCGTCTTTAAACGGATGGCCAGGTTCGTTCGGTTCATAAATGTAAGCAGAGCTCGGTGGGCCTGGTCGCGTCGGGAAGCACTGCCACTCGGAAAGAGGTAGTCGTATAGAGTCGCACACTTGAGTGCTAGGAATTTATATTCCTTAATCAACAAATACCGCTGCGTAGCAAATGTGGGACAGTGCACTACGAGATGCTCAAGTGTTTTGCAGGAGCCACAAGCTGCGCACAACCGGCTGCCCACACGCCCTTGACAGTGTAGTGTTCACGCACAAGCACAGAGCCCCCTTTTAGTTTGTACAACAGCGCTCGGGAGCTACGAGGCAAGCCACGGCCACGAACCCAAGGAGGGAACGATTCATTCGCTACACGCTGGCATGTGTGCTGCTTTAGGAGGTGTCGGCGTATAAACAGACGAGCGTTGTCCATCGTACATAGAATTCCCGGACAGTCACAGCCATCATGGTTGCATGACAAAGCAATGCGATCTGCTCCTTCATTGCCTGCAATACCCACGTGCCAAGGTACCCACTGTGTAGCTAGGCATACCCCACGTGACAGGATGTTGTTAATGGATTCCATAATGCTGATCGGAATTGGTCTCCTTGCTGGTGAGTTTGCTAAGGGCCCCACGAGAGTCGGTGAGGATTACAGCCTTCAATGCTGGTAACCCTTCTTATACGTACTTAAGGGCGACATCAATCGCTGCTAGCTCAGCCGTCACCGACGATGAAGGATGCGGTATTTTAGACAACCATATGATATCGGTTGAAGGTAAGAAGAAAGCTGCAGAAGCGCCCAGGCCATCACTGCGTGCAGAAGCGTCCGTAAATACTTTTGCATAGTTTTCGAAGTTTTCACATAAGTGTAAATGGGCTAATTGGTATAATTCCGAAGTAGGTTGGTCGCATGTTTTGCGTATTGCTGGAATCGACAGATGGGCAAGGAAGGCACATGGCCATGTGCTTTGTCGATGTTGGAAACTGTATAGTTTTGCCGGAATTGCCAGTAATGTTATTATACAAAGCCGCCAGTTTACCCATCAGAGAAAGTGGGTGCTGTAACAGCCTGTTAAGGAGTGTCTTGCCAAGTGGGGCTCGGTTAAAACGCTCAATTTGATGTAGCGCTCTCTGGTCAGCTTGCAGCCTCAGCGGCAACTGATGTGCTTCAGTCAGTAGTGGGATAGATCGTGCTTCACGAGGTAAGGATTTTGGCAAAAGGCAACCTAGATATTTGTAGCTATAATTGCCACAACAAAAGGGAGAGCTCCAGAAGTAGGATAGATATGATATTGCGGCCTGCAGCAGCCATGGCTAAGTCCTCGTTTTGATTGTTCTAGGTTCCTGCCTCGTGTTCCTTTTGCTGCTTGGTCGCACACCGACACCGAGGATTGGTACTGATTCATCCTTTCTGCGCCGTCACCACTCAAGAATGACATCATCCTCCCGCTGACGTCATAACGAATGTAGCGCCACCGGACACTACATAAACACGCTGCCCACAGCTCTTTCTTGGGATTTGCGGCCTGCAGCAGCCATGGCTAAGTCCTCGTTTTGATTGTTCTAGGTAGGCATTTAGCCTTGCCCTCTTTACAGAACTGTATTTTTTGCATACTGCTGGCCGCTGATCCCCACTATTCCTTGTTGTGTTCTGTATCCTGAGCACTAGTATGGGTGTTGACGTGTCTACATACCGGGCACGCATCGAGTTGTTTGTGTCTTGTCGTAAGAACACAAGTTACCCTAGAGCTCGCTTCAATGGCGCGTCTAACTTGTTCCGCTTTGCTAGCCCGAGACCATGTGTTTTGTTGGTGAGCACGTGCCTTTCTTTGCTCCTACTCTGTGCTGGTGACGTGGAAGTGAACCCTGGTCCGAAGATTGATGACGTTCTAGCTTTGATGAAAGATTTTTATGAAGAAACTACAGCTAAACTGACAGAAATAAAACAAAACATCGCAGGCATTAATGCTAAAATTCATGAAATTAAGACAGGTCTGCAAAAGATGTCGCAAATTGAGTCAACGTGCGAAGATGTAGGTGATTCAGTACGTGAAGTAAAATCAAGCATATCAAAAGTAAATGAAGATCTCGTTGATGTAGTAGACGATATAAATAACAGGATGAGGCGGAACAACCTCATCGTTAAAGGCCTTCCCAAGACCCACAAAGAAGACTACGAGGAAACAGAAAAAATTGTTAAAGAATTTTTTTCCGCTCACCTTGAGTTACAAGTTGGTGACATTGAACGCGCCCATCGCGTCGGTAAGCGACGCCCGCATTTTGATCGACCCATTATAATCAAATTTCTAAACTTTAAGTCCAAAACCGAGGTCTTGCGCAATGCCCCGAAACTGAAAAACTTGGATTTTCTTAAGGTTTGGATTGACCAAGATTTCTCGCCGAAGGTGCAGATGGCCCGTAAACGGTTGAGGGATTTTGCAAAGCTTAAGCGCAAAGGAAGCGAGCATAATTCGGTTCGCTTTAACTGTTTGTACATTTGGGACCGCGTTTTTCGATACAACTTTGTCACTGATAGCGTTGTCGAAGTAACTCCCAGACAGGAATTCACGCCTCATGCAATGAAACCCCAAGGCAGTTCTCTTAATGAAGTCTCTCCGCACCAACCTCTCGCTGATTGACAAACTACCTCTTCTAATCGAAACTCCACCTACAAATCTGAAGTAACGTTGCTCCTAATAAATTTTAGGAGCATTTTAATTAAGCTAGACACCCTGAATTCCTTCTTGTACACATGTTCCGCCGACATTTTGATCGGTACGGAAACGTGGCTGTCGGCCGACATTTCGAACTCTGAACTTAACTTTCCTGCACAGTTTACAGTTTTTCGCAAAGACAGATCGGTATCTAAAGGAGGAGGAGTAATTAGAGCTGTTAAACAAGAATTCCAACCGTCAGATATCGCTTACGACTCGTCCATCGAAGCAATTTGGGTTACGGCGCAGTCAGCTCACACCACCGTAATTATCGGTGCCTGCTACCGACCCCCCGATAGCGGTCCAGAGTTCGTCGACTTGCTGAATGATTCACTCGAGTATGTGTATGCCCATTATCCAAATTCTGTTCTTATTCTCGGCGGCGACTTTAACTACCCAGGCATAGATTGGGCATCTTCTTCTGTCAGCAGTAGCAGCTCCCACCGTCACGAATGCTTGCGTGTTCTACATATGACACACGTCCACCTCATGACCCAGTTAGTAACAGAACCTACACGTGGTGATAACATTTTAGATTTACTTTTCACTAATAATTCCCAGGAAGCTCTTACCCACGTGCTTGAAGAAATTAGCGACCACAGAGTTGTCCTTTGTTCACTATATCTACCACGCGCCGAAAAATCAAAGGTAACTAAGCAGTTATTGAATTACGCATGTGCTGACATCGATGAGATGAACCGTATGTTAGATGATTTTATAACAATATTTGAGTCAAGTTTTGAACATCGCGCTGCAAACGAAAATTGGCTTCAATTCCGTGACAGACTAAAAATTAGAAGAATGCTGCGTCCCGAAACTAACAATCAGCACCAAAACAGATGACCCGTGGTTCACACGCGATGTAAAAAGATGCCTAAATAGGAAGAAACGAGCTTTTAATAGGGCTACACGAACTAATACTCCGGAATATTGGCTTAATTATAAAAATCTTTCAAAACAAGCTGAGGCCTCATTAAAAGAGGCCAAGGAAAAATATTTTAACTGCACCTTACCTAACTTTTTGAAAACTGACCCCCAGAAATTCTGGCGCGTGGTGAACCCTACAGCCTATCCTTCTGAGCCAGCTCTACTGAGTGATCAAGGCAAAGCGTTGTCGCCAGAGGAAAGTGCTGAATGCTTCAACGAATTTTTCGCATCTGTGTTCACGGAAGAACTTCCACTAGACTCACTGGCACTGTTAAAACCTACCATTCACGACCCTTTTTCTTCAATTACAATAACTGAAAATGGTGTCGCACAAGCTGTACAACGCCTTCCTCGCAAGACTAGCCCGGGGCCCGACGGAATTAGTGCCAAACTCCTAAAATTAACCTGCCACAGATCAGCGTATTTATTGTCGCTGATCTTTCAGCAGTCGCTTGACACGGGCTGTGTATCGGAAGACTGGAAATATGCCTTTGTTAAACCCATATACAAATCCGGCCAAAAGTCAAGTCCGAACAACTACCGTCCAATCTTTCTAACCTGTATATCTTGCAAGCTATTAGAACATATCATTTACTCGAAAATTATATCTTGCTTGAACAGAAACAACATCCTCATCCCGAACCAACACGGCTTTCGGGAAAAACGCTCTTGCAACACCCAACTATTTGAATTGTTGACAGACTTGCACAAATCCATGCATAGCTCTGCTCCTACAGATGCTATTTTTATAGACCTTTCAAAGGCTTTTGATCGCGTCCAACATAACCAATTAATAACTAAAGTCCGTGACCTCCAGCTTGATCAGAAAACAATCCAATGAATTCAAGAGTTCCTCTGTAACCGGTCGCAATCGGTCAAACTTAACCACATAATTTCCAGAAAGTGCATGGTAAAATCCGGTGTCCCCCAGGGCTCCGTGC